TTTTTTTTTTTTTTCTGCAAGTCCTCTTGCTTCCATTGATACTTAAAATTGGTTAAGGATTTTTTAGGCCAGGACAAATTTTATATGCTTTATGAAATTTGTTTCTATCATAACTTGGTATGGATCTATAAATTGTAAATTTTTTTTAATTTTTCTTTCACAGATCCAAGCTCCAGAGAGCAAATGTGAAGTTCCTCTCAGCACCGGTGTGGGATGGAACAACTGGAACTGTCATTGTTCTCACAACTCCCGATGCTCAACGGACCATGCTCGCATATCAGGTCTGTATCAAATTTGAAATTCACACATCTCCTTTTCATTCAAGACTGTTGTTTGATCATTATCACAGTTATCAAACATAGCTTGATCATTACTATCATGCAAAAAAAGACTGTTGTCTCATCAACTTCTCTAGATTTGTTCTCTCATATATTGCCTACTATGATTTGATCAAACTCAGGGCACATCTTCACGGGTGAACTATGATCCTTGCTTGGCGAGTTTGATATCCAAAACTAGTATATTGATTGTCGAAGGATATTTATTCGAATTTCCCGACACGATTAAAACTATTGCAAGGGCATGTGAGGAGGCCCACAAGTGTGGTGCTCTGGTTGCCATCACTGCTTCTGATGTCACTTGTATTGAGAGACATTATGACGATTTCTGGTAAGTAAAAGTCCTTTTTATTTCGTTAATTGTCATTAAGGTTCCTTTAAGTCTTCTACTACTTCCCGTTGGAGTTTTATTTAAGTATTTGTTTCTTTATCAGGGATATAATGGCAAATTATGCCGACATCATCTTTGCGAATAGTGATGAAGCCAGAGCCTTTTGCCATTTTCCCTCCGGCGAAAGCCCTGTTTGTGCCACGAGGTACCTGAGCCATTTTGTTCCTTTTGTCTCGGTTACAGATGGCCGTAAAGGTTCTTATATCGGTGTAAAAGGAGAAGCTGTTTACATTCCCCCATCTCCTTGTGTACCGGTAGATACTTGTGGAGCTGGCGATGCCTATGCATCTGGCATATTGTACGGTTTATTACGTGGAGTTTCTGATTTGAGAGGTATGGGCAGTTTAGCTTCTAAAGTTGCATCCATAGTTGTTTCGCAGCAAGGGACCCGGTTGAGGGTAAAAGATGTTGTGGAGTTAGCCGAGTCATTTTTATTCCATCATGAAAGTTCCACAATGTCGAGTTAGCCGAGCCATATTCATTGCCAAAGTTGCATGTTGACCCATTGAACTTGTATGTGGATACTTCAATTGTAGTTATTGAATTGTATAGTGTATGACTACTTATAGTTGGTTCTGTGTATTCCGATCGAAGATATGGTCGTTATGTATTGTGTATACCAATGAAAGGATCGTATTTCGTGGAAGAATGTTGATAATGAAGATGTGTATTTCTCTACTATGTGATTTGCATGAATGGTTTTCTTTCACTTGCAAGTTGAAAGTACACATACCATAAGTGAGTACACAATTAGTGTCTATAACCAACATTATATGGGATTGTGTTGTTCTTTCATGAATCATTCAAAATTTCAGGTTATGAAAGAATAGGTAATATTTCATTGCTTCAACTGCTTCTTCTTTACATACAATTACACAAGATTAATTTCACAACATTCGTCTATCGTCCGATAAAAAAAAAAAAAAAAAAAAAGTTTCACAACATTCAATTATAAAAACTTGGTTAGTAAAACCAACACTAGAGAGCCCACATCATTCACAATTGTTCAATAGTGCATGAACAAAAGATGATAATCCCAGCATCCTATTTTAATTGTCTCGCACGTCACCTAAGAAAACTCACCTGATATGATGATGCGTAGCTGTTGCAGGAAAAACTACTCTTCTCTTCTCTTTCCTATGATCGACACGCAGCTTTGGGGACTTGGCTTTCGTTGCTTCTTTGGCAGACCTGTTTGTGGAGATGGATAAATGGGGACCAAAAGAGGGGAAAAGAATAAATGAAAAAAGAGGAATATTAGAAAGCAATAGCTAGAGAATAAATGGTTTAAAAGAAAGAATCTTGTTTGTTCTGTAAGATGTACTTTTGCGGCAAGAAAGGATGCTCAAAGTTCGGCACGGGTCTTGCATGTGGGACTAGGGTCCTCCTCAGCTGTTTCAAGGCCTTCTCCTCTTCCATCTTCAATAATGAGTTTTAAAAAGTGAAAATGAAAACAATGGATATTAACTAAATGAACATACTTATCATGTTTAAATATCGATACGAAAAAAATGCATGCAAAACAATAGATTTAGGATAAAACAACCTCCTGTGGAGAATTCTTTTACTTAACCGTGAAACAATATTGATGTGGTTATTTTATTATTTGTGCTTACCATCCTTGCAGATTCTTCCTCCTCTCTGTATCTCTTGTAAGTCATTTCTTTCTCCTTAATCTGTGAAACAGATTTTTGTAAGAAAATGTTCAAACAACAAAGGAAAACTCCTGAATTCTGTAGATGATTATGAAAAAGGGACTTAATATTTATATAACGAGGACAAGGATGACAACCTTTTTATCAAATTCTGCTCTATCAACAGCCCGGTGCTCGACATGCAGATTGAATTCCTGATATTCCGTGAGGGGCTTTCGTTCTTTCACAGTAACTGGAATAGGGTCCCTGATATATATATATATATATATATATATATATATATATATATATATACAACCAACATGTCACGTTATACAAGGTGTTTCCAATATTGATAAATGTCCAGAACCACTCCCAAGCATTAAAAACAATGAAAAGCATGAAAAAGCCAACTTGTCATACTCTTTCAAGATAGGCTGTGCTTTGAATTTTCGCATCTCCGCTTCTACCATCTCCATCCTCTTCCTTTCTTCCATTTCCCTCTGCATCTCCTCTTCGTGCCTCAGCAAACTCTCCAGTTGAAAAGGCTCCACTTTTGTGCATGGCTTTGGCTCCGGCTTTGGTGGAAGCTAAAGAGGAGAGAGTTCAAAATGGTTTAAGTACCAATTCATGCAGTGGTATTTGAATTATGATACATAAATTATTGTCATAATCAATTACCACGGGGTAGTCGGTTGTGTAAGGATATGGATGAGCTTTTGGTATTCTGGCCCTATCTTCTTCCAACTGTTTGTGTGAGAGTTCCTCGGCTATTCTTTTCTCCTTCTGTGCCCCTCTTTCCTGGAAAAAACAAACAAACAAACAAACAAAAATTACAAAAACATAAATCCTGATCAAATGTAATGTGCACCTTTAATATATAAAACTTGTATTAAGAATGTTATCGTTCATACCTCCGTGTGGAGATGGAAGGGATTTGGTGTAGTATTTCGAGAAAGAGGCTTCTTCTCCTGGTGAGGTTCTGAATTTATTGAAAGCTGAATGTGGCAGAAACAGGATTTTATTTACTTTTAACCAGTTAAGAACATAGCAATTGTTAAGGACATAGCAATTGTTGAGTAACTGAAGAGAGACCAACAGAAATCTTGATCAGTCATTACCTTATCAATTAAATCTACAACAGAGGTTGGTGGTGGAATTCTTTTATCTATCACAATGTGAAATTCCTCGGGTACAGTGACCTGCTTCTTCATGTGGGAAAACATGCCCATTTCACCTTTACTTTCGAATATCTGCCGAATAAGAATGGTGCAAATTACAGTCGGATAAACACAGATACACAAGTTACTAAAAATAAAAATTCCCATAATGACATAAGAAGGTACTGTGTGCTACCTTTTTATTTAGTGGTCTGGCCTTGAACTGTGGAATATTTTCAAGTCTCTCCTTTTCTCGTTCCTCGGAGCTTTTGATCCTCGGAGGACGAGCTCTGAGAGACGTCTGAAGAAGAGGCGATTTTGGTGTTGTAAGGTGATGAAGTTTCCATTGATGGTTCTGCAATAACAAGATATCATAATTTTTGACAAAGTAGCAATTATTTTTCAGGAAAAGAATAAAGAATTAGAATGAAAATTCAGTCAGACAGCTCAAAAACCATGTTGCCATACCTGTACTGCTGTAGATTCTGTTGAGGCCACCGTGGATGTTTCTGCATTTTGAATGGCCCTCGACATAGTTTCCAAATGAAATTCCTGTACAAGTCATGGTTATATTGTATTAATCTAAATAAAATGCTAATATATGTTTAAATTCTTCAAAAATCTACTAGCAAGTGAATTTAACTACCTTAAATTCCGGTAGGTGGGGTGTGCTTCTCGGCAAGGGAGGTAAAGTCGGGGCCTCGAAAATCTTCGAGAGAAAAATTTGAAAAAATGAGGTTAAACTATTATGTATACCAAAAAGTACACTGAAAGACGAGAGTAGGTTGATGAATATGTACCTTTTTGTTTAGTGGACGAGCCTTAAACTTAGGGATTTTAGCCATTGCTTCTTCCTCCAACTCAGCTGAACTTTTAATCTTTACACTACGCACCCGCTGAGACGTCTCGAATTCAGGTGTTTTCGGTCTTGTCAAAGTAAGCTTAGGCTTTGTTTTCATAGTTCCAGCAGCATCACTCTGAATTATTATTATTAAATTAAAACATAACAATTTTAGACATGCACCAAACATTTTCAAGTTTATCATTGTCAAACCAGGAAATGAATGCAGATAAATTACATGTGAAATAGAACTGCTTCGAGACATAGGCATGTCTCTCGTCCTCGACTGAAACTTCTTCATCATTTCTGCCGTGGATACGAATGGCTGTGCGTGTTCGCGAACGTACATCTTCAAATGAATAATGGAATTAAAAAGATGTATAAATTTTGACAAACATGTATACTATCAGAGATTTCTACCTTTCTGTCTTCTTTGTTTATTTTGGTTTTCACAGTTGAGGGGCAGAGGTTAGAACTGCTGCTCACAAGTCCAGTTCTTGTTTTGTGAGGCAGATTTGAAGGTTTGTTGATTGTCCGAATCTGTAACAAAAGGGAACTCGTTTATCAAAACCTCAAATACCAATCATGTCACTTGTATTATCACCCAAAAACTTATAGTAATAATAAGAAGAAGGATTATGAAATTATAGAAATATGCACCTGTCGGGATTTTCCATCTTCCAGTTTTTGCCTTTTGATAGCAGGGTTTTCATGGGTAAGGTTGGAATTTCCAACGATGTTTTTAGTATTTGTGTCTCTGTGGAAGTACAATTCAAGTCTAAGTCAAGTCTTTACTATGAAAAGAGTATTAGTTAACTAAGTTGTAAGAGTATTACGATTGTAAATTGCAAGAACAACTAAGTTATTGTACCACCTTTTAACAGTAGCCGGCTTAGTGCTTTTGCCTTGTGATTTTGGCAATTGCTTCTTCGAATTCAATAATGAAGGATTTTTCAGAATGCTGGCTATTCTAATGGCTGAGTGAGTCTTCTGGTTTTCAATCGGCTTTAGTGGTGCTGGGGTGCAGCAAATCGAGGTTGCCTTGCCTGTTACAGCACTGATCATGACCAACAAAATTTTAGTTCAAATTATAAAAAATCTAATAATTACATTTTCTCCTCTTTACTAGCAAAGTAATAAAAACAAAATAATAATAACAAAGAAGACAATGGTTTAAGGCAAGAAAAAGAACACACTTCTCGTTTTCCGATGAGTCGTTCGCATTTTCTGGATTGCATTTGACTCCAACATCGAGTTTCTCAATGCAAGAATCCTGTATTTATCACAAGTATCATTATCGTGAGAAACATGATAAAATAGTAATAACAATCCTCATTCAAATGCTACTACTAACATTTTTCTTCGTTTCAGACTGGACAATATCTAGCTGAGGCCTCTTATTTGCTCCCACTTCTTCAGTAGATTCAGTTGGGAGAACTTCTGGTTGAGATCTGCAACACATTATAACATTAAATTTCATCTTCCCGAGAACAAAATTTCCAACTCAAGCATCCCAAAGTCTAAACAGTGAAGAAAAACTCGGTACATTTTTTGACTTAGTGATATTGGTGCTGGCTCCATGGCAGAATTTGATGCGCTAGGAGGGGCTTCTTTCGATGTTTCTGGTATCTGTGATAAGTAGAAATATTTTAACTGATTTTTCATATATAGCCATAAAATATGTACATATATATAAAGAAGAACATACATGCACAAAAATAGAAAATGATCACCTTCTGCATTTGATCAGCTTCACTGAAATTGCAGAGAATATGATCTTGCACAGTTCTGATTGCCTTGATTCTAGGGATAAATGCTGCAAAATCAGGGGGGGGAAAGAAGGGCTAACTAAGCCTGAAACCTCAACTCAATCCAGACAGGACACGATAAGCCGATAACGCAATGAGGAAAAAAGGAAACGAGAAAATACGACTCTCCAATCGACCAACTTCGTTCTCTTCCTCAACCTCATTCAAATACAGGGCCATTCATACATCATATGGGATATGGAAAAAAAAAGTAAGAAATTTTGATTGAAGAAAGCAACAAAAGACCACAACTCCTTAGATAAGGACAATTAAAACAAAGACCAAACTACTGATATCTTAAAGAATGCCACACTACCGACGGGCAGTCGAAGAAATTGGGGAAAACTGAGATGCAGGACACTTACTTGAGTACAGATGATAAGATGTATTTAAGCAAATAAATTTCATTTTTATGATTAGAGAGAGGGGGGAAAGGATTCTTGAATTCAAAATTTGAAAGAAAAAATTGTATGATAACACAAACTTCTCTATATGATAAACAACTTCAATTTCCAAAGGTACAAACCCTTTCTTTTTTTTCAGAAAACGATTATCATTTCAAAATAAAAATTCAATAGAAATTGCCATATAACTACACAAACCCTAATATTCACCATTCCAATTAATCAACACACAGTTGGAGCGAACCCTAACAAGAACACGAGCCCCCACGTTCTAAATTTCTACCAAATTGCTCAACAAACTAATACGAAAAATCGGAAGGGAGACTAAATACGCACGAGAATGGGCATAAGGGCGGGCGTTCTCGAACCAGAGCTCGGCCTTACGGACATCATCCTCGGTCTCCTTGCGCAAGAAATCGTGAAATCGAGGAGCCGAGAACTCGTATAATTCGTCGACCACGGACAACAATTTACCGGAAGGCTCCTCCAATGCCGCCATTTTTAGTTGCAGAGTAACCTGTTGCTGGGTGAAGAGGAAAAAGAAAAGAGGAGTTATGATCTTGAGAGGATGAGAAAAATGGAGATGAATATTATTCAGCGTTTGTTTGGATTTTGGCTAACGGTCGATTTTGGGATGGCAACGGCTAGTAACCGAGGTCAATAGTTATTAATAGCTGCAAAACGTCGTCGTTTAGAATTTTTGGTGAAATTTATTTGTATTATACTAACTAGTGCGTGTCCCGTGCGATGCACGAGAAAATAATATTACGATTGTATTATAAATTAAATATATAAATAACATTGATCATGATCTACCCATTGATTTAAATTAAACCGGGTTGGACACAGACCGACCGAATGGACCGAGAACCGGTTTATGATTCGCTTGAATAAAATATTTGCTATTGAATCCGTCAACACCAGTTGGACTGGTAGGATCGATACAATTTTCTAAATAAATTTTGCTACATTTAAAATTATTTTAAATAAAATTACATATTTAAATAAAATAGAGATTTATAAATTGTGTATCAATTAGTTTAAACATTTGAATTTATAAATTATTTAGATATTTAAGTAACACATTATATTTAAATTTATTACAAAAATGTCCTATATATGTACTATAATGTTTATAAATAAAAATCCGAAGAAACCACAAGTGATTTAATAAAATAACTTGATCGTTTCAATGACGGTCCGGTTCTGAAAACCTTATATTTATTGCACGTTAATAAAAAAATTATAATAAAATATTATTTTATTTCCATAAATATTACTAAAATGATATATAAATATTTATAAATTATTAAACATGTTGTCATAAAAGTATTGTTAATATGATTGTTTGAAGTTTGGACTGCATCACATTTACGTAATAAAGTATTTTCAGTGTTAAAATTTATATTTAGGTTTTTTTTTTCCCGAAACGATAGAGGAACTATTATAAAGCAAAACGCACAACGTGCGAATAAAAGTACAAAGCTCCCAACGGGAGAATAAAATGGGAGGACAAGTCTAACGACTGCCTAGAATCCCGACACTAGCAACGCTAGAAACCAAAAAACACACGACAAACACTAAGAACTAAGAACTAAAAAAACTAAAAGGCTCCCAACTGGAGAATACCTGAGTGTCGGATCCCAACAGGATAATAAGTTTGACACTCAGGCGAAACAGAGGCCAACTGGCCCAGACCAAAAATACAACGAACAAACAAAAACATGAAGCTACCAAACAAAAACATAACAAAGCAACACAACTAAACGAGCCCTTCCAAAGCAGTGCCATCAAACCGAACCAGCGAAAAACAAGGCGACTAAGAGACCCGCAGCTAAAAGAACCGACCCCGAAACTGCCCAAACCACTCGGTTGCCTAACGGTGTCGAAACCCTAACCCCGGAGCTAATCCAAGTCACCCCGCTCCACGACCACAACACTGGATTGCCCCGAACGGACAAAAGAATGTCACAGCCCTGGCCCCAACCCCAAAACGCTTGGAAGCTGCCCAAAGCCACCTCTCCGCCGCACCACCACTCCGAACAACACCACTGACAGAGTGAGGGGCGCGACGTCCCCTTCGACACCAAGGCCGAGAACCGGGGAAGACAACCAAAGAGAGCAGCAACGTCCCAATCGCCCAAGCAAACAAGTCGTCGGCCAAACGAGACGCCTCCCACCCCCGGAACGGCACCACGGCTCCACCACCACCCAATCGAGGAGCCACTACCCTGAATCGGCGCCGGAAAGGACGGAGACCAATCGCAGCAGAAGAGGCCCGACTCCATCGGACCGAAAAGCGAAACAAAAAATAAGGGGCGGAAAACCAAGCGGTCAAGGGCCGGCTACCGCCGGCGAAGTTCGAAGGCTACTATGGAAGGCTGACGGCGATTAATCGGAAGAGGCGAGAAGATGGAATTTGGGGCAAGGGTTTTCTAATTTGGTCACCTGGGACCAACCAAGTTGTGTCACCTGGTATATAACTTAGTCACCTGGGACCAACCAAGTTGTGTCAAGTTTTTTGACTATTTTAAATATCACCTAAAAGTAATTCAATCAACCTGGGCAGTACCTTAATTATTCAATCACCCGATTGATCCAAAGATATCTCCTTATTTTCTATAAATATATTTAATTTTATGAAATATAAATATTTATGGACTGCATTAAATGCTAACCTATTTATTTGCTACCATTTTTAGTAAATAGGTTGTCTCTTTATATATATATATATATTTATCATGACATTATTAGTTGGCAAATTATGGTTTTAAATTAACCAATGTCTACATGATACTATGATAGACATTAATGCGGTTTTAAAATATTATCTATTAATAAACCATATCAAATCCAATAATTATTATCATTATGTTTTTTATTATCAGATTAATTGATATAAATTTGTATGTTATTGAGTTTTGAAATTTTTGATAAACCAAATTTTGATACATGTCCACCGGTCTGCATGTTTATCTCCAAAAATTTGGTATGATTTTTGTTGGATAAATAACTAAATCACGATAAAAAATAAGAGCATGGTTTTAGTTAATTACGTAGTTAGAAAATTATGACATGTTTAAAATGTTTGGGATAAAAGTTGTGTTTAAATAAATCTCTACATCTCTACATGATAAGAATTTGGATGAGACTAAAACTCAAATTCAATTTCAAATAACCTATCGAAAAATTCAAATGATCAACTGGATATGTTGAAAATTTTCAAAAAATTTTGATATGTTTATATTTGTTTAGGCAGGAATTCCTCTTATTTTTTGCTTAGAATTGTTTAGATTCCCTCTTTATATAATAATAGATTTAGATAAGACTTCAAATTAATTCATAAATAATTTTTTAAAAAAAATTAAAATAGTATGTAATAAATGCTTTCATAAATTTTTGGATTATTATTTTTAGTAAATAGTAATTCTTTATATATATATATGTCCATTCCATTATTATAATTCTTTAAAAGATTTATAATAAATCCAAAAAATAGATCTACTAATGATTTTTTCGGTCACTTATTAAAGATCCCTAATTTATAGGGATTCATGTATGGAATGCACTTCTTTCCTAAATAATTTGGATAAGACTTCAAATTAATTCCTAGATAATTTTTTAAAAAAAATCTTAAAATAGTATGTAATAAATGCTTTCCTAAATTTTTGGATTACTATTTTTAGTAAATGGTAAATCTTTTTATATATATAGATATAGATTTAGGAATTCTACTAGCAAAGCCCAAATATAATTAATTAGAATGTAAAAAATATTATATGTATGATGAATAATAATATAATATTTATTTAATATATTAAGATATTTGATAAATGGTTAATTATATTCTTTATTTTGTAATTTATAAGAATATGCTATTCTTTTTTTTTTTTAATGTCTCAAACCAGTAATTCATAGTGATTCAAGGAATGATCCGTTTGTTTATCTTTTTAATGTTATATATTTTTGTTTTGGGCTAATTTTTTAAAATTAATTCTATATTTAAATTTAATTGTAATATATTTTATGTCAAAAATAGTTTTTACACTCATTTTTATATTTATAATATTATCTTATCAATATATGAGAACCGTGACAAGATTTTATTATAAAGACATAATCTATACTTATATAATAAGTCATCCTATTTACTATAGTTAGTAGTAAGAAAAGTCAATATTAATTAATGCATCCTATTTTTAGGTTAGTATTTTATTTACTTATTTTATTTATTTGTTTCTTCCCATTACATCGGTTTAATAAAAAAATTCCCATAAAATCTGTTTTTTCAAAGAATTGTACATAAGATCCAAAAAAAAAAGGCATATTCGATCGATGATAAAAGATTTGATCAGTCAAACTTATATCTTTATTTTACATCACCCATAAATAAAGCAGATATCAAGCCTAAATTAAAGGGTTTAGTTGTGTATTGATTTACGTAAATACATCTAATTTTTAAAGTTTGCATATATTCAAAATTCCTTCTTATCTTTTTATCACCGGTCGGTTCTAATTGTATGAAAATCTGTTCAGATTTGTTTCTTTAGATGTAATCCGATTTTCGTAGAATGAGATTTTTTCACAAAAAATATTAACCGCTATTGTATCTATCGATCGAATATAAATTACAAATCTCAGCCATCGTCTTCGTCCATGTCAACCTCCTGCGAACAAAAAAATATCCCCAATCAGTCTTATGAATCAATGATTTGACTTAATCAAATAAGTTAATAGGTCTAATAGGTCTATGCTGAAGGCTCTAATTGTAAGAATATTTTTTCAAGACCGAGGTAGCACATACAAATCTTATCTCTAGTTGGTTCTTCATGATAAAACTGTAAGCCAAATTATTGTTACTTCTTTTTTTTTATTTCGAACTATGAAACATTTATTTTCTATTTTTAAATTTTATTTTTAAAATTTAAAATTTGGTTTCTTTCTTTTATCGTGCACGTATTCAGATATTTAAATTATTTATATTTTTTACAAAAATTAATTTTTTATTAATTATTTTTTTGTACATGTTTAGAGAAATCGCATTACTACATGGCTCGGGCAAGCAACTTGGCTGCATTTAGAGAGAGGAATTTTGAGGAGGGCATGATCATTTGTATCAAGAATTATCAAGTGGACAACAATCTAGGAAAGTAGTCGGAGGGCATGATCATTTGTAGTCACGTAGGACATGGGGCTGCAGAATGCTATACTAAGGGCAATAAGCCCCGACCTGCTCTACCCCCCCGTCGACGTGTAGCGAGGCAGGGTTCTACTATTGCCCCGACGAGCCCTAAGGAGAAGGGCAAGGCCTCGGCCCACGGCCCCGATCCGAAGGGGCAAAAGGGCAAGGGCAAGGTCACCTCTGAGGGTAATCTGCCCAAGGAGGTTAACCTCGATAGGCCTAAGGCCAAAGCTACAGGCCTTTTCCCCCACTCCCGCTTCACTGTGCTTGACTCGGAGTCGGAGGAGGAGTTTCACATTCCCTCCGACCATCTGGGA